AGTCCACAGAACAGTGTCCCTGGTCTCCTTAAACCACGCTCCAAATTACATATTGGAGCCTTCAATGTCCGCACCCTCCGTCAAATTGGCCAACAGGCTTCGTTGGCAAAGACTCTAGCAACTCGAGGCATGGATGTGTGCTGTGTTTGTGAGACACGCATACAGGACCCAAGTGTGGTTATTCACCTGACCTCTCCTGACCAATCTGGTGAATCTGCAAAATTCACCCTTCGAGTTTCTGGAGATTCGATAGCTAGCTCTCGTGGTCTTGCAGGTGTAGGTATAGCATTAAGCACCAGGGCAGAAAACTCACTACTAGACTGGATCCCAGTTGATAGTCGCCTCTGCGCTATGAGGCTGAACGGCACAGTGAGAACTAAAAGGAATAGTGAGACTCGCCGTTGTCTCTTTGTAATCTCTGCTTACGCACCCACTGACTGTAGTTCGGATGAAGTGAAGGACGAGTTCTACCATAAACTGTCTAACCTCCTCTCGAAAGCCAAACGTTCGGACGTAGTGGTTGTTGCAGGTGACCTCAACGCACAGGTGGGTAGACTGAGTGAGGCAGAAAGGCACTTAGGTGGCACTTTCGGAATCCCAGCTGAACGTACAGATAACGGTGATCGCCTATTACAACTATGCTCAGATAACCGCCTATTTTTAGCCAGCACAAATTTCAGACATAAAGAAAGGCACTGTCTGACCTGGCGTCCACCGAGCTCGACTCAGCGATGGACACAGATAGACCACATTGCTATTAGTCATCGCTGGAGAGGATCGGTGGAAGACTGCCGCTCCTTCTGGAGTACGTGTTTGGACAGCGATCATGCGTTGGTCCGAGCACGTATATGCCTGCGTCTCAATGGACGTAGAAAAAATTTGGCAACAAAACCACTACGAGTTCTGCTGGACAACGAAAACACCAAAGCCGTGTTCAGTGAGAAGTTGGCTAGGCAGTTATCGGAACAAAAGACTGTCACTCATCCAGAAGAAGCTTGGTGCCATCTTCAGTCTACTGTAAAAGCAGCACTGGAGACTGTAGCCGACTCCAAGATAATGGCTAAAAAGAGCCAGTGGATATCAGCAGCTTCTTCCAAACTAATGGATGCACGTGAATGCATCCCTGCAGGCTCTGAGTACAATGAAGAGCGAGCGCAACTTAAAAATAAACTGACGAAAAGTCTGCGCAACGATCGTGAACAGTGGTGGGCAGCAAAGGCTAAAGAGATGGAAAAGGCAGCGGCGATCGGTAACAGTAGACAGTTATTTAGACTTATTAAGGAGACTGGGGGGAAATGGTCAACAACAGTTAGTGAGGTTATAGCGGAGAAGGACGGATCGGCGATTCACTCGCAGGGAAGGCGACTGGGACGATGGGCAGAACACTTTGAGGAACAGTTTAACTGGCCTCCAGCCACCATTGCGCTGCCCGCTATCCAGTCGGACCCTGAATGGGACATAGAGACAGGTCCCCCAACACTAGAAGAAGTTGAGAAAGCGGTAGGTAGCCTGAAACGGGAAGGGCAGCAGGACCAGACGGACTACCTGCTGAGGTATACAAGAATGGTGGTAGAGTTCTCTTAGTCAGGCTAACGGAAGTGTTAGCCAGTATATGGGAATCAAATACGATCCCCTCCGACTGGTCTAAGTCACTGATCATCCCAGTCTTCAAGAAAGGCGAGAAGTCCTCTTGTGATAACCACAGAGGAATCAGCCTGACAAACATAGTGTCTAAGATCCTAAGTTCTATAATTCTCCGACGCCTGAGTGGAGCTCGGGAACAGCAAGCCCGAGAAAACCAGGCAGGCTTTAGACCTGGCCGTGGATGTATCGACCAAATATTCACACTGCGCCAGGTCCTGGAACATAGGCATGCTTACAGACGCCCGACAATAGCTGTATTTCTCGACCTGAAGGCGGCATTTGACTCCGTTGATCGAGAAGTCTTATGGCAGTGTCTGTCACTGAAAGGCGTGCCTAGTAAGTACATCACCTTATTGAAAGCTCTCTACTCGAACACTTGTGGGCATGTTAGAGCCTATGGTGAGTTGTCCAGGGAGCTATACTCATCAAGTGGTGTCCGTCAAGGATGCCCACTATCCCCATTCTTATTTAATTTTATCATAGATATTCTTATGGAGGTTTCCCTCTCGTCACCTAATTACAAAGACGTTGACCGGATCACAGGTGAATTTTCCTTAGATCTAGAATATGCAGATGACATAGTCCTGTTAGGTGAAGACGCTGACAAGATGCAGAGTCTTCTGAACACTTTGAGTGGGAATTTGAGAATGTTTGGGATGCGATTTTCACCACCCAAATGCAAATTTTTGCTCCAGGACTGGTCTTCAGCGGTACCGCGGTTAACAATAGAGAGTGAAGTGGTTGAGTGTGTTGACCACTTCACTTACCTGGGAAGTAGGATCAACTCCGGTGGGTTAGTTGCCGATGAGATTTCTGCACGGATACAAAAGGCTCGATTGGCTTTTGCCAATTTGCGCCACCTATGGCGCCGCCGTGATATTCGTTTGTCTATTAAGGGTCGCGTGTACTGCACAGCAGTCCGCTCTGTTCTACTGTATGGCTGTGAAACATGGCCATTGAAAGTGGAAGACATGAGAAGGTTACAGGTATTTGACCACCGTTGCCTTCGTAGTATAGGACGTATTCCGTGGTGTCACCATGTGAGTAATGCAGAAGTTAGGTGTAGAGTTTTAGGGAGAAGAGGTAAGTCAGTCGACGAGGTTGTGAACCTTCATCGACTGAGATGGTTGGGACACGTACTACGTATGCCTAGTCACCGATTGCCTCGTCACACAATGTTGGCTGAGGTGGGTTCAGGCTGGAAAAAGGCCCGAGGTGGCCAGACTAAAACATGGCACCAATGTATGAAGTCTCTGACTGTTGGTTTAAGCCATGTAGGACGATGCAGACTAGGTGGTTGGGGTCCACGGGACAAGAGGAACCAGTGGTTGGAGACCCTAGGTGATATGGCTCAGAACCGAAGTCAGTGGCGCAGATGTATACACACATTATCCTCATCTTAACAACGCTATACCGAATCTCACTATTTTGTCACTCCTCTTTCCTTTCTTCTCATACTTTATATTTCTTTTGACTGCATTCACTTATCTTCATCCTTCACCTCACTACCTTTTTACTTGATGTGCTGATATGAGGTGTGGCAACTCGGACCGTTACGCAGTAATGCCTGGTCCTATGTTGATAATGATGATGATGATGACCTGAACTCCTCTAGTAGTCACCGAGATAAGTGTTACATCATTAATTAGCAGCAGTATCAAGGCGTCCGCATAGGAACCCATCTAACAGCAGAGGTCGAGCAATTCAGCCCTGTATAGCAACTGGAAACTACAATTATTATGACAATAACTATACTCAACATATTTTGAAACAGGCCCTCTGAAATATTACACAACACTGTCACTATAGAATTAAATTCTCTACAAATCTTAAATTCATTTCGGATTTAATCTTGACCTGATGGTAGTTACTTTATCACAATAGAATTAATGTGACAAATAATGATGGTTTTCCAAGCCAAACTAAATGCAGATAGCTTATCTGGGCGGAACAAATCAGATTCCTACAAGTAAGTGTCCTAGTTCAATAGGAAAGTAACTTGATCACAAAAACACTGACTTTTAAACAAAGGAATCAGCCAAACATTTTCCATTCCCAATTTCTTTTTTCCACCCTAAATAAATTAAGGGAGAGAAGTGTGCCGGGTAATAAACGTCAAAATTTTTCCACTATTTGCATTGTTGACACTCATAATGTCTTTTATGTATCATGGTACCATTTCACACCCTTGACCTAAATATCTGAATTGTACTCATCTTATTTTTTAGCTTACATAAATCCAATGACCCATCTAAAAAATATTTTATCTGGCCTGATGGTTAGCAGTGGAATCCAGGACGTGTGTTTCATCCTGTTTGGGACACATCAGCTGGATCTAGCTGCACCTATGTTAATGATGGTGTTACGAGTTAAACCTGACTTCAGAGCCGATAACTTCAGATGTCACAGCGTTGTCCATTAGACCACTGAGACATGAGAGCCACCTCCTGTGCAACGGATTTCAGTTGATTTTTGTTGGTATTTTGCAGTTTTTCATTGCTGTATTGGGTCAAATTACTCTACTTCTGTTGAATATATCTTTCTCCCTGTCTTGTCCAAATTCCGCTCTAGAATAGTCGTTTAATCCCTCTATATACTGACAAACTTACTATTAGTTCTGACGTATTTATTCACTCCAGCAATGTATCTTCGAGTCAGTAATTTTCTACCTAGATGAGTCAGATATACGAACACTTGAATAAACCGAAGTTAAATTGTTTTAAATTGTAAGCAACTGATGAGTAACCATGAGATAAAATGAATCCATGCTAGGTATGAAACTGAAACGTCTGTTCTCACTCCATTTAAATCATAAATGCTCAGAAGTAGGAAATCATGAACCTCTGTAGTCCGAGTGTGTGTGTGACTGCATTGTAACGCTATCTCTATCAGACTCCACAGTCATGGACTTGCATGTCCAAGAGGTTTCGGATGTACGCTGATAAGCAGTCATAAAGTAGAAGTGTTCCAAGATTTTCAACACTTTTTGAACTAACATTAATCTATGATGAATTCTAGTCTGGAACCAATAAATCGCCATAAACAATTGGATCAATCGAAACGTTTGATTCACGTATATGTTCATGAGATGTGTTTTTATAACTAACACACTGAATATGCTGAATAAAAATGTATAAATAGAGTGGAAAGGGAACATGAATTACTATCTACTGCTTACTTGATACAATTGTCTAAAGAATAATGGAATCACATTCTATTCAGTCTGCTACTTTCAGGATTATTTACAAACACTAGAATATCAAGACTGAAAAACAACAATTTGACGTTAGAAAGATATAATACTGTAATAATAGACAAATGATACTTAAATAGATAAACTTTAAGAAAATACTCACCACAGAGAAATATATCAATCCAAAAAACGTCGCAATCGCTGAACTGGCCAATTTAGTTAATGTCAATAGAAATTCTGACCATCTTACTAATTCAATTATATTATTCAATGATTGAATATTAACCAATTCAGAATTCAGTTGTTTCCATGATTTACTGAATGATTGACTCTCAATTACTATTTTAAAAAATAATAAGATTAAAATAGGTGAAATTGAATAATCTTTTCGAAAAGCTCAAAATAGTTTTACTCTGGTTTTCGGCTCAGCTCTTAGTTCCGGCCCAAATCTCATTTTCGTAAATGTTATTATCTAAAATTCAGGGCCATCGGTCACCTCATTGAGCAGAAGACATCACAGTAACGCTTTCACATGAAGTATTCTGGGAACGTCACTTCAAAACTAATCTCGGTAATCCCACGGCTCTCTGGACTACTGGGTTTCAACATATCCACATTCATCTGATAATCAATTTGCTTCATAGTACTCACCTCTTTGTGGGCAGAAGTGCGTGGAATACATCACACTGAGTCTCCTTAATCTTGCAGAAGAGATGTAGCTTATCTTTCAGGAATACTAACCCCTTCTTACCAAAACTTTGCATATGGGGCTCCTCCCGAGATATCCATATGACCAAGGCTAGGGCGAACCATAATTAGCATTAAGGACCTAATACGGCCCACCTTCTCAAGGCAAACCCAACACTCTCTAGGGACTGCCTCAACAACAATGACTACCAGAATTAGGAAGCTAGATTCCTCTATCTTTCGGTTGCATTCCCCTCAGTGACTTAGAAGAATAAGTCATCCATGCTTCAGAGACCTGTACCACTGAGCTGCGCATATGAACATCATCACTCACGTCTACTCCTAAGTCAACTGTGACCGTGGACTGGTCGATATCCACCAGAATGCCGTAGAGACTCACCGTCGGTACGTAATTGGACTCTACTAGTAACCCCCATCTCCAGTTTTCCTGCCCAACATACAGTGTAGAGCCCATTCATGTTATTGCTCTGGTAGGCAACTATGTTGAGGGCATCAAACTGTTTCGTGAGTGTCATAGTTACTTTCGCCGAGTGGCATTGCGTATGACCTATCCAAAAACTCAATTAATAAGCCAATCAAATTGACTGGGTAATATTTAACCAGTTGGCTGGTTATAAATACTTCATTTTATTAGCTTTATTGATAGCACTAACATTCCAATTTAACGAAATAATATTGTTGGTTTGTTTTTCAACAAACTAGTGAACCTTATTAGGTACAATTTCGGTAACATATGATTTCCGCCTTAAAACTGTTTTGAACTGACTATAAAATCTTATGACATTTGTATTAAATATAAATCTACTGGTCGGAAGACTCTGCTATTCAATCCTTAAAATCATAAGTATATAAAGACCTTGAAATCATCCTTAAGGACATCAGATTCTGCTTTTAATACAGATTACATGGGAGATATTCTGTAGAAAACGTGTATAAGTGCTGAAGTCTTAACTAAATCAGCAGAACAGTGAAAAAGTAATCTATAGTCTGCTGATGAGAATTTGATATCTTTTACACCATAAAAGTAATGAATTCTTCAAGCTTTCAGAAATTCAAGAATTAAGCTCATACTGAAAGCTAAAAATCAGACAATGATGCAAATTTTTATTGCAAACAAACAGAACAACTAATGAACAAATTTCAAATCATAAAGTTAACTATATAGAGTTATTGTGGACAAAATAATCTTACTAATTAGATTCAGTCAGCTCAACCACTTAAAAATATTTAATGTACACAAATAGCATTTTTGAAATAATTAGTCCCTTTTATGAATTTGGATAATGTAATTAGAAGACGTAGATTAACTGAAAAATGTGATATATTAGCGCTATACATTTCGAGCAATCTGATCACACATTTACTTGTTAAGGCATTATATATGAAAACTGGAAGTGGAGGAAGGACACATATGACATAAAGGAACTACGAAAGCAGCTGGATTCACAAACATTGATAAGCGCAGATGGCAGACAACCATCATCATCCATTGCGAAACATATCATTGATAAGAGTCGCAGAATTGATATCAAGACAGCCTTTACAATTTTGTACAAAAACTGTCAGGGGCGTATACTTAAGTTCGTTGAGGCACTAGCCATAAATAAATTTAACCCCCCATTGTGTGTGCAAAAACAATTTGTCCTTACATTAAGCCTACCTTGGTAATGCTTATTTTATCGTATTACCAAGATTGTCTTCAAGTCTTATCATTTATTCTTCTCATTATCTTTCTTATTATTGAATTCCTTTATGTCATATGTATCCTTCCTCCACTTCCAGTAAATGTGTGATCAGATTGTTCGAAATGTATAGCGCTAATACATCACATTTTTCAGATAATCTACGTCTTCTAATTACATTATCCAAATAGCATTTTATCTGAACAGTGCCATTTCCCATTTTTTTTTCAAGGGGGTAAACAAATCCACTGGATTAAAATCTCTACCTTATAGTGTTGTATTCAGTGCTAACTTAATATAAATAAACACTAAACTCAACGGACAAGTAATAAGCTGATAAAGGTTATGAAATTATAAACTTTAACATTCTGTATAAGCTGTAAGGTGGTATTTTCTTGTTTATTTCATTACTTGTGGAATGTTCTGATGTTTTTAATCTATTTTTAATGACCTCCCTTCCATACCATTCAGGTACCGTAAAAGCTTGTAGATTTTTTGACATGTATCAATGTTATGATACCTGTAAACTGGCTTCTCTCATGTTAAATTACTAATAAGAGAATAAAAAATATTTATTGTAACAACAACTCAATGACGAGATTTGGTGGTGAATTTCAATCTGAACATAATTACTTAGTGGAAATAATACCTGGTCATTGACGCCAATAATTATCAGACTGATCCCACCCTTTCCCCAATTCTGGAACATCTTCACGATTAACTCACCTACTGATCACAATTCTTTTTGCGTTGAACAGTCTAAACTTTCCTAACAGTATTAGTAGCAGAGATATTCTGAACAAATGATTAAACCAGAGACCAATTTACCTAGTGGCTCAGAATGTGACTTATCTGCAGTAGCTCCACACTACATGTTTTCTAGTACTCTGTATCAAGTGGTCTTTTCATATTAAAGTTGCTATGCATCAGATACACTTCTTGAATTATACTGCCTACGCTAATATAAAAGATACCCGAAGTCTATGTATAAATACCGCAATTTGGACTATTAACCGTTTCAACGTCTAAATCAATCCAATACAATAAATATTTTGGGGGAATTAATCTATATTACCTTTAAACTTAACATAGTGACCTGGAAATGCTTTGATTTAGACACTCACCTTGGTCATATAACTGTGGATACTTTACCGATACTCTAGATTGTATAAATGGGTCCTTTGTGGTTAGCAAAGAGAAAAATTGAGGAACCTACTGAGGAATAGACGGTTATATTTCTATATAACAAACTATGCAAATGATCTAACAACGTCAGCTGGTTGTAACTCAAACTTCGAACATTGCGCGCTTTCGTTCCTAATAGTGGAACCTGTCTGTGTGATTGGAGATGACAATCCATACCCCCCACATGAATTTCAGCAAGTTTTAATAACATTATGCACATCAGTGACTTGATATGTAAATTATTTAATTATTATTCTATTATTTTTCTCTTGGGTTTCTAGTGGAACATATGTGGCTTCAGTAGCACGTCTCTATTGCTCTCTCTTCTCGCAGGTCTTTTCAACCTGGCGACACAACTCCCCACAAGCTTTCATTTCTTCCTCACATGATCTCCTCCATATCACCCTCGCTCCGGACGCCCAACTCGTCGTTTCCCTTTTGGATTCCACTCGAGGGCCTTGCCTGGCAAGTGATGTCCCCAACCGAACTATTTATTGCTAAGTACTATTTCGTAAACTTTGAGGAATTATCAATTTGACGATGCTTATAAACTGGTATCTCTCATGTTAAATCCATTATATGAGGATAAGAACTACTATTGTATAAACGTTAACACTCTGTATACGCTGAAAAGTGATATTTTCTTGTTCGTTCCATAACTAGCAGGGTCTTCTGCAGTTTTTAATAGAGTTTAATGTCATTCCGTCTGTACCACTGAGGACTGGCAAAATCGTGTACGTTCTTAGTCATGCATCACTATGATGATGCGTGTAAACTGGCTTCTCTCATGTTAAGTTACTAAAAAGAGAATGAAATATTTATGTCTATCGGTAGGAAATTGTCTAATAATCTATGTATTTGCTCTGACTGACTATTTCTTATCTAAAGATCAGATTATGACCATCTTGTCTTGGTCACATTTCTGCAGCTAGAGTTTAAAAACAGTAGAAATATTTTATGGTCACTACTACAATGCTTAAATACCAAGATATCTCTTAAGAAAGTTTTGTACCGATGAAGTTTAAGACACTGTAAAATGTACTGTTGTCATCTTTTCAATTCATCATCAAAAAACTACTCAATGTTTTATAAAATGTTAGCACTTCCCAACAAACTTCTGAGCGCTAAGGTAATAATCTTCAACCGTTACGACAGTTTTTGAATCTTAGCCTATTTCGTTATATAAGTGATTGTCTTTCATCATGACTGTCTATATTAGTGTAGTACTTTTATCGCCCACACTGAAGTTACAGTTAGAGCGCATAACTTTACAAAAAAGCTGCATAGTGATGAATTGCTAAATTATTCCAGCGATGGGAACTACAGTGCCTAACCGACAATTTTGTAATAATTCCGTACCACAAACTTTCTTCAGTAACATGATAAGTTACATATTAACCGATGGTAACCAAAAGAGTCTGTATTCTTATTCAATATCTTCTACACTGCAACAGAATTCTGCCATTTGTCCTTTTTTCTGCAAAAACTATCGATTACAGGTAGATGTTGTGATTGCATACTGTCGGCAACATGAAAAACCTAGCCAATGATAAATTACCAAACGTAAACTAATTTTGAATAGTCAGCATGTGTGCAAAGAGTATTTATATCATTTTGACTACCTGAGATAGCTGTAGCTCAGTAGACTTGTGCTGATATTAGGTGATGATTGAAAGTGGAATGAAAATCTGGGCCACGGCATGATTCAAACCAGTGACCACCGGGTTTCCTGCTCGGCGATCTACCAACTGAGCTACGAGATCC